GGGAGAGGCACTCTGATTTTTAGAATTTTTAACTTTTCTGCACTGCTCTTTCCCCATCTTTGTGGTTTTATGTACCTTTGATCTTTGATGATGGTGACATACAGAGGGGGTTTTGGTTTTGGTCCTTTCTGTTTGTTAGCTTTCCTTCTAACAGTTGGGACCCTCAGCTGCAGATCTGTTGGAGTTTGCTTGAGGTCCACTCCGACCCTTTTTCCCTGGATATCAGCAGCAGAGACTGCAGAAGAATGAATATTGCTGAACAGCCAATGTTGCTGTCTGATCATTCCTCTGGAAACTTCATCTCAGAGGTGTACCCAGCTGTGTGAGGTGTGAGGTGTCAGTCTGCCCCTAGTTTGTATGTCTCCCAGTTTAGCTACTCAGGGGTCAGGGACCCACTTGAGCAGGCAGTGTGTCCGTTCTCAGATCCCAAACTCCATGCTGGGAGAGCCCCTACTCTCTTCAAAGCTGTCAGACAGGAACATTTACATCGGCAGAGGTTTCTGCTGCCTTTTGTTTGACTATGCCCTGTCCCCAGAGGTGGAGTCTACAGAGGCAGGCAGGCCTCCTTGAGCTGTGGTGGGCTCCACCCACTTCAAGCTTCCTGGCTGCTTTGTTTACCTACTTAAGCCTCAGCAATTGCAGGCACCCCTCCCCTAGTCTCACTTCTGCCTTGTAGTTAGATCTCAGACTGCTGTCCTAGCAATGAGGGAGGCTCTGTGGGCCTGGGACACTCTGAGCCAGGGGTGGGATACAATCTCCTGGTGTGCCATTTGCTAAGACTCCTGGTAAAGTGCAGTATTATGGTGAGAGTGACCTGATTTTCCAGGTGTTGTGTGCCACGGTTTCCCTTGGCTAGGAATGGGAATTCCCTTACTCCTTGTGCTTCCTGGGTGAGGTAGTGCCTCGCCCTGCTTCAGCTGTCACTCGCTGGGCTGCACTCACTGTCCTGTACCTACTGTCTGACATGCCCCAGTGAGATGAACCCCGTACCTCAGTTGGAAATGCAGAAATCACCCGTCTGCTGTGTTGCTCATGCTGGAATATGGAGGCTGGTGGTGTTCCTTCTCGGCCATCTTGGCACCATAACCCCACCTTTTTTATTTTTTAAGATGGAGTCTTGCTCTGTGGCCCAGACTGGAGTTCAGTGGCATGATCTCGGCTCACCACAGCCTCCACCTTCTGGGTTCAAGTGATTCTCCCGCCTCAGCATCCCAAGTCGCTGGGATTGTATTGTGGGATCTGGCCAGCAACCCACAATGCAACAGGGCTCTTTCTTTGTTCCCAGGCAGATTGGCAGGTCAAGAAATAAAAGACGCACAGAAGATAGTGAAAGCTGGGTCCAGCGGTGTCATTGCCTTATGGTCCTGTGATGCCACCAATGCACTGGATATACCAGCATTTATTATTAAGTTTAGTGAGGGCAGGGGTAGGTTAGTGAGGGATTTAGGGTCGTTTGATTCTGAGGTGAAATGGTCACATGGGGATGAAGTAATTCTTTAGCATAACATCGGTATGCAGAAGTACAGAATACAGAGATAAGAATTTGCAACATAGTATGTGCATCAGCAATTTCTAACAGAGCCTTAAAACAGAAACGCAGTCTATCCATATCATATGGTTAGCAAGATACTAATCAGCAGTAACAGTTGCAGGAAAAGCTGGTTGCAAACAATCAATAGAAACAGGAAGTGAAGCTAGAGAAATGGTTACACCAAAAAATTCTCAGAAGGGAGTATGCCTTAACCCTAAAGAGACCTATAAGAGCCATGGCAAGATAAGGGTGTTTATAACCTTATCTTATCCGTATGAACAGGCGCCCCTCATGTGTCCATTTATAGGGTCTCCACAAGGGTTGCGTTCCATTCCTAGAGCTATGAACATCTGCTTTTCTGGGATAGGAGTCTTGGTGATGTGAAACCTTCCTGACTACAGGTCCATTTATAGGCTCTCTGCAGGGGGAAGCACATCACGTGCTGTTCGCTCATTGTGGCAGCCCAACCTGGCATTGTCTTTACACAATCCTGCAGGCAATTTTGTTATTCTAGTTAGTCATTCGTCAAGTCTTTTTTCAAGGTTTTTAGTTTCTTTGCGCTGGGTTCGTACTTCCTCCTTTAGCTCAGGGATTATTTACAATAATCAGGAGCATTTCATCTTTTATTCCATAGCAAAGGTTTCAGGGGGTCTCCCTACAGGACTGCAGGTGGGCGCCACCACTCCTGGCTAATTTTTATATTTTTAGTAGAGACAGGGTTTCACCATATGGACCAGGCTGATCTCGAACTCCTAACCTTGTGATCCGCCCGCCTTTGCCCCCCAAATTGCTGGGATTACAGATGTGAGCCACTGTCCCCGGCTCATAAACGACACATTTCTTTGAGTTTTTAAATTGCAGCCCAAGAGAAACAATTTGATACTTGAAGAATGGCTGCACACAAATATTTGCACACAAATAAAAATGTTCGTAGATTGCACCACATGAGAGAGACTACCAGTATGACTGTCAGGATGAAAATATCAAGAGTTTGGAATATGCACCTTAGGCAAGATACAAACCAACTACAATAGAATAGATCAAAGAAGAAGCCAGAAGAGTCTAGTCATTTTAACCAGGCAACACATCTGTTGATTTTTACAACTGAGTATCTATAATACCCGATGTATTTATCCATGTGCAACAAGAAATGTCAGAAACTGTACAGGCTCCCCCGTTAAGCTGGTAGAGAGCAATTCTATTTTCTAGCATTGCATGCCTATGTTAAATTAAAACAGGGTGTGAGAAGAATAGGCAAGTATAGAAGTGGAAGCCTGAAAAAAACTCCATACATTTGAAGAAAATGTTGTGTTAAAGATGCAGCTAATGTCAGCCTTTGGGTGGACTAAAGGATCTCTTGTTATGTAAAAATGTGTGGGCCAGTTGTGGTGGCTCACGCCTGTAATCCCAGCACTTGGGGAAGCCAAGGTGTGTGGATCACCTGAGGTTGGGAGTTCGAGACCAGCCTGTCCAACATGTAGAAACCCTGTCTCTACTAAAAATACAAAATTATCCGGGTGTGGTGGCGCATGCCTGTAATCCCAACTACTAGGGAGGCTGAAGCAAGAGAATCACTTGAACCCAGGAGGCGGAGGTTGTGGTGAGCCAAGATTGTGCCATTGCACTCCAGCATGGGAAACAAGAGAGAAACTGCATCTTTAAAAAAAAAAGTGTGGTTGATGTGATATATCTGACACTATTAACTTACTCTCAAAAACTACTTCTTATGAAATCCTAAGTACAGCATTATTCTAGGAAGTAAAGGAGACAGGCATAAGCAAGGACAAATTAAGAGAGGTAAGAGTCTCATCATGATTGAGTCTTGTTCTGACATCTTGAGGAAAGCTATCCACAGTGTAAAGTCATCAACTTGTTGTCGTGGTTTGCAGTTTAAGTGTCTCTAAGTCATGGCGTTGAACATTTGGTGAGCTCTGAATGGTCCACACCTCTGACAGGAGCATTTTCCCATGAAATTTACATTGAGTTGTCCACCTCCAGCTTATATGGCTTCAAGAGTAGAGCTGCTCTTGTTCTTAATGATTTCATTGGAGGAAATTGAATTGGAAGAACTAAAAGAATTCAAGGTCCAGTCCATTCTACCAGTGGATTATAAATACTCAAAGATAATGAACAGTGATTCAATATCGTAACAGGTGTACTATAGTTTTTCTTTTCAACATAATTTTTCTCTATATAGGAGTCTATTTTACCAAAGATAATTCCAGTAGGATGAATTTATTTGCAAATAGGTTGAGTCTCACCAAACTTGCCTAGATTATTTACCTAAGTGCAGCAAGAGTAGTAATGGACCATAGAGGCTCTTTTTAAAGTTTGCTTGGTAGAAGTTTTATTAGAATCTCAGATCAAACTTTTAAAAACCTCTTGAGGCTAGGAAGCCAAACCAAGGCCAACTTTAGAGTTTGCCTGCATTCCCTATGGGTTTATTCTATGTGTATTCTCAAATAGAACTTCCCAGTCAAAGCCTTGGTAATATAACCAATGTTTTCATATGTGTCCTGTTATAAAGAGGGTAGATTCTTACTGAACTTGTGCAAATAGCTTTATTACCATAAGCATATGAATATTCATGCATAGGTTCCCAATTCTGGGGCACTCAGATAGGGAGCAAAAGCAAATGTTTCAATTTTTGTTTACAAAAGTATACTTTACCAAATTGCTGTAAATTATAAATAGCTTCAAAGAGAAATTTCATAAATCTGGAGAGTAAAGCATTCAAAGAATCAGTACATTTTCAAATAAAAAATTATGAAAACATTATCCTTCTGATGATTCAGTCCAATAAAATTGAGGTTTTCTTTCTTCTTTGTCTTGAATTTCATGAAGGTATCAGCCTGTTCATTAAAATTTTGAAAGTTCTCAGAGAGTCCAGTGGTATGATCTTGAAGTTATCAGAAACTTGTATTCAAGAGTTGTCATCAGAGTCTTTTCCATATATCTTCTGGAAGAAAAAACAATTTTGGACTGTAGCTGATTGTAAATACTTCAAAGAAGAATCAAAGCAGCTGTCCTGGAATGACAAAGATTTAAAATGACTATGGTGAAAAATCTAATGAGATTTTTATTAGGTTTATTATGGTAAAGACACAGCTCACATAGAAATCTAGTAATCTAGTTACTTCTGTGCATATGACACTATGACTGATAACATACTCGATTTCCAGAAATTTCATATAGTTTTTTTAGAATACTCATTTTTAAATTTATTTTTATTTTTATTATTATATTTTATTTTTGCTTTTGAGACAGAGTCTTGCTCTGTCGCCTAGCCTGGAGTGCAGTGGCATGATCTCAGCTCACTGCACGCTCCGACTCCCAGGTTCATGCCATTATCCTGCCTCAGCCTGAAGTGTAGCTGGGACTATAGGCGCCTGCCACCACGCCCGGCTAATTTTGTTTTTATATTTGTAGTAGAGATAGGGTTTCACCTTGTTAGCCGGGATAGTCTTGATCTCCTGACTTCATGATCTACCTGCCTTGGCCTCCCAAAGTGCTGGGATTACAGGTGTGAGCCACCTCGCCCAGCGTAGAATACTCGTAGTATTAACATTCCCATAAATATTATTTAGAGAAGTTTAGCATCATTTATCACTCATTTGAAAATGCTTTATATATATTTTAACATATCAAATAAGGTGGCTTTTCCATTTAGCTTCTGTTTCCCAACTGGATTACTGAGTTCTTGGTGTAGCCCATTAATACTTAGGGCCAAAAAAGTATAGTCGTATGTATGTTGGAAAAGGTCCTTAGGTAATTCCAGTACTTCTAGCTGAAAATCATTGATTTAGCTTTAAGTTCTACCTATTACAACAAGAGTTCTCCATCCTCGTTGCATGTTTGTAGTGTCAGGGAAGACTTAAAAATTACCAATGCCTGGGTCCCTCTCTAGACCTTGAAACTGGAACTCATGGGTGGGGGTTGAGTATCCACTTTTAAAATGTTTTCCAGTGATTCCAATGTGTGGTTTTATTTCCCATCATATTTCTCTGATTTCTTGTGGCCTTCACTTTTTTCTATTTTGGTATCATGATTATTTTCAGGTCTCATTTCCTGTCCTAGGCTTTATGTCCCCTGGGGTAGGGACCTTGCCTTCTTCATTTCTGTATCTTTTTGGAACACATGAACTGGTCATCAGGAAAAGGTCTCAACCATACATAGGTTGTGCTGTGAGTCTCGGGTTCACAGGTTAATCCTAATTTCTTTGTTCTCCACGAGGTCAGAGATTGCTTGTGATGAAGGGTGTGGTTAAGTCTGTAGTGCAGATGGTGGAGAGGAGTTCACCCTGTTTTTAGGCATAGCATTGGAACTAAGAGTTTTATATCTAAATGGGTGAAAGGGTAGGGTGGTGTAGGAAGACAGTTCTAATTAGGATGGAGGAATTATACTAGGAAGTAGAGGTAAAGGAAGTGAGAAGGATTAGTAAATAGAAGAAATGTGAACTTACCAAATAGGCTAGAGTAGACTCCTGGAGATTCTTGATTAAGTGAATTAACTAGATTTTAGAAAGGTAATGAGGCAGTCATTTGCAAGGAACGTTTCAAAGTCTGGAGACAAGAAGTCAAGCAACACTTTGAGAAGTGGTTGAGCTTTGTGGGAATGGAGAGAATTACACTATTGAGAGATGTGAAAAATAATGAAGAGGGTTTCACAATGTGATACTGTGTTTCTCATTTGAATCTGAGAAACAAACGAGCAGAGGCTGGAGATAACTATGTCTGAAAGACAGTGGGGTACAGGGAGCAGGCAGTCGACCCTGCACAAAAAAGGACAAGAGAAAGGCCATCATACCTACCAGTCTTCCTGAAATACAGAAATGACGTCATGGCTGCTATATCGGATTAAGCCCAGGATAGATGTCCTATTCCTGAAGGAGCTGTCATGGAAAGAAAAGAGAAGATGGAATGGAGGTGATGTTATTTTACAGGGGGGAGCCTCAGGAACAAGGATGTAACATGAGGTACTCTATAATTGTTTCTTAAAGGAATACATCATTTCTGTTGGAAAGTTGATGGGAGATGATTATATTCTTGCAGTTTTTTCCCGCCGCTCACCATGTTTCTAGGTTGGTGATCAGTCCTCTGCCAATTCTCTACTGCACTCAGATAGTTCAGAAAACTTTCAGATGTGAGAAAGGCTGATTGCTACTTTCTATGTCGTTAGAACTTTCTGCCTTTCCACCTTTTCATGGTTGCATCTTTTTCTCAATGTCTCTGTTGTGGCAGCCATGAATGAGACCCTGTCAGGTCTCATTCATTGGAACTAAGAGTTTTATATCTATATGGATGAAAGGGACCTGATTGACAGAAGGCCCAGGTCAGTGCATTTCAAATTCACCACCTCCTTTGTACAGAAATCTTCCTTCCCACAGGCTTCCAGCAAGAGTGTGAAAGCAAGCCTAGTTCTCTGAGGCTCTCTTTAACTCTAATGAGTGGCTGGTTGGAGGACTCCCTATCAGTCTTGCAAAAAGTCTCTTAGAACTACATTGTAACCTAAAATTTCTTTCTGTTTCTTTTTAAGAGGAGTCAGCTTTGCATAGCTGTCTGTGGGTTCTCCCATACTACCTTCCTGCCTGCCCCACATTCCCTCACAAGTGCCTTCCCTGATAAATTATCTTGTATGTCTAATCCCATCCTGAATTCATGTCAGTTGGTAAAAACTAACATACCAGGCTTGATTCTTTGCACTTAGCTTTTTTCCTTTCTTTCCCACAAGCAGTCAGTCACCATGTCCTAGTGTTTTATGCGTTACCTCTTTTTCTATATATATATGGAAACAGTTAGGTACTGTTGAGGGGCATGTCCTGTGTGCCAGGCCGTGTGCTAAATACTTTACTTGTACCTCATTTAATTCACACAATAATCCTGTTAGGTAGACATTATTTCCATTTTGCCAATGAAAAGACAGAAGCTTAGAGTAGTGTGAAAACTTTCCTGGTGTCATATGGCTAGTAATAGGTGGATCTGACATTTGATTCTAGGACTATTTGACCTCAAGGCTAATGATGATGGAAGTAATATAGCAGCTGACATTGGTTTGTCTGTGTGTGTCATCTTGTTTCACTGACTGCCTTAAACCTTTAAAAGAATGGTATGAAGCAAGCTCTCTCATTGCAATTTTCAGGTGAGGAATCAGAGATTCAGAGAAGTTAAGAGTCTTGTGCAAGAAATTTATAACTGTAAACTCTTACATTAAAAAAGAAGAAAGATATCAGATCAACAACCTACATTAATACTTCAGGATATGAAAGAAAAACAAACTAAACCCAAGCACAGTGAATGAAGGAAACAATAAGGATTAGAGTGGACAAAAATAAAATGGAGAATGGAAAAAGAATAGAGGAAATTAATGAAACCAAAAGTTGATTCTTCAAAATGAAATCAACAAAACTGATGACCATTAACTAGACTGACTAAGAAAAAAAGAGAGAAGATTAAAATTACTAAAATCAGACATGAAAATGCAGTCTGACCATGGTGCATCATGCTTTAATCCTAGCACTTTGGGAGGTGACAATGGGAGGATTTCTTGAGGCCTGGTGTTTGGACCAGCATAGGTAACCTGGGGAGACCCTGTCTCTACAAAAACAAAAACAAAAACAAAACCAACGAGCTGGGCATGGTGGCATGCATCTGTAGTCCTAGTATCTTGGGAGGCTTAAGAAGGAGGAGAATTGCTTGAGCCAGGAGGTTGAGGCTGCAGTGAGCCATAATCACACCACTGTATTTCAGCCTGAACTGGCCTACAGAGTGAGAGCCTCTGTTCCAAAAAACAAAACAAAACAAAAACAAAAAACAAAAAACAAAAAAACAAAAAGAAAATGAAGCAATTACTACCAATTCTAATAAAATAATGATTATGAAAGTACTATAAGTAATTGTATGCCAATAAATTGGATAACCTCGATGAAATAGACAAATTCCTAGAAAAACACAAAAATATGAATAGAACTATAATCAGTAGTGAGATTGAATCAATAAAAGCATTTGATGAAATTCAGTATTTTTTCATAATAAAAACATTCTAACTAAGAATAGAAGGAAACCACCACAACATAAAGACAATATGTGAAAAACCCAATGCTAACATCATATGCAACGGAGAAAGACTGAAAGGTTTCCCTGTATGAGCAGGAACAAGACAAGGATGCTGCTTTTGACACTTCTATTCAACGTAGTATTGAAAGGTCTAGTCAGAAAAATTAGGCAAGTATTTAAAAAAAGATATTCAATTTGGAAGAAAGGAGTTAAATTATTTCTGTTTGCAGATAACTTGAACTTATATGTAGAAAATCCTAAAGATGGAACAAACCTATTAGAATTAATAAATGAATTCAGTAATGTTGCACAATACAAAATCAACATTCAAACATAAGTCATATTTCAATACACTAACTATGAACAATCTGAAGGGAAATTAAGACAAAAATTTAATTTCTATTAATATCAAAAAGAATAAAATATTTAGGAATAAGTGTAACCAAAGAGGTGAAATGATTATACCTGAAATCCACAAAATATTACTGAAAGAAATTAAAGATGACATCAGTAAATTGAAAGACATTTTATTTTCATGAATTAGAAGACTCAATATTTTCAGGAGGACAATGCTACCCATAGTGAGCTGCAGATTCAATACAATACCTATCAGAATCTCAGTGTCATTTTTACAGTAAAAGAAAAATCTGTCCTAAAATTTATATTCAATCTCATGACACTAAATAGACAAACAACTTTGAAGAGGAAGAATGAAGCTGGAGGACTCACGCTTCCGAATTTCAGCATTTACTACAAAGCCCCAGTAACGAATACAGTGTGGTACTGGCATAGAGGAGGACATAGAAATTAATGAAATAGAACAGAGAGCCCAGAAAGAAATACTTGCATATATGGCCGAATGATTTTCATCGAGTGTGCCAAGATCATTCAATGGGGGAAAGGACAGTGTTCTGACGAAATGATATTGGGCAAGCTGGATATCCAAGGGCAAGAATGAGTGGAACCTTTACCTAACACCATATACAAAAATTAACCCACAATAGATCAAAGATCTAAATGTAAGAGCAAAAACTATACAACTCTTAGAAGAAAACATAGGAGAAAATCTTCATGATATTGGATTTCACAATGATTTCTTGGTTGTAACAACAAAAGCATAGGCAACAAATAAAATGGATAAATTGGATTTCATAAAAATCAAAACCTTTTATATACCGAATAACATCAAGAGAGCAAAAACGCAACCCATGAAATGAGAAAAATATTTGCAAATTATAAGTGTGATAAGAAATTAATTTCCAGAATACATGAAAACTACAAGTCAAAAACAGCAAATATTCAATAACCCAATTAAAAAATGAACAAAGGATTAAAATAGTTTTCTCCAAGGAGGATATACAAATATATAATAAGTCCATGCAAAGTTCCTCAGCGTCACGAATACTTAGAGATATGCAAATCAAAACCACTATGTGACACCACCTCACACATTTTAGGACGGCTTTGATAAACAACAATGACAGCAACACAAAGCAACAAGTGTTTTCAAATAGGTGGAAAAATTGGAGCTCTAGTGCATTGCTGGTGGGAATGGGAAATGTTATAGCCACTGTAAAAGATGGTGTGGCTGTTTCTCAAAAAATTAAACAATAAATTACCATTTGATCCAGCAATTCCACTTCTGGACATGCTCCGTATAGAATTGAAGGAAATTTGAACAAATATTTGCACATTGATGTTCAGAGAAGCATTATCCACAATAGTCAAAAAATGGAAACAACGGAAAAGTCCATTGAAAGATAAGTGGGTAAGCAAATGAGGTATGTCTATACATCGAAATATTATTCAACCATAAAAAGGAATAAAATTCCAATACATCGTGCAAAAAGGATGAACCTTCAAGATATTATGCTAACTGAAATAAGTCAGACACAAAAGGATAATAAATATATAATTCCATTTATAAAAGATAGAATAGCCAGTTACATAGAGACAGAAAGTAGAATGCTGGGTTCTAAGGGTTATGGGGAGAAGGAGTGAGAGTTACTGTTTATTGGGTACAGAGGTTTAATACGGTAAAAGGAAAAAGTTCTGGAAATGGATAGTGTGATGGTTACACAACACTAAATTGCACGCTTAGAAATAGTTAATGATAAGTCCTATATTAGATACATATGAAGTGTTCAGTAGTCTTACCCTCTCTATAAATATACACTTTTTGGCATTGCCCCTTTCCTGCCATGCAGAGCCCCAGAGGTGAATCTCCCTATTTCTCCAAGTGTGCATCACTCACTGTCCTCTGTGCTGTGTCCCACGTGCTATGCCCACAACCTCATACAGCCGGTGATTTCAGAGCCAGGACACAACTCAAGAGTCTGCCCCAAGGCTCCTTCTCTTCTTATTTCCCTGCAGCCTAGGCTTCACTTCAACTGGCAGCTTGATTTAGCCGAATTCAGGACAGGCCACCAGGGCTCTTTCTCCATCATGCTGGTCCCAACCCAGGTGGAGTCAGGCAGGGCGTCACCAGAGGAGCCCGGAGCAAAGCAGGGAGCAGTCTGAGTTGCTCCTCCCTCATGCAAGGGCCTTCCTCCTCTTATTTGGAGGAAAAATGTGAGCTTGTTTCAAAGCCTCAGGTGTTCCTTTTAGCTCAGGGAGTAGGTAAAAGAAAACAAAGATGTGGCAGAAAGGGATGTGTCGGTGACAGCGAGAAGCAACTTGATCTTGAGGACTCTCCTTCTTGTCCCTCTGTGAAGCCTCTTCCACCACGTAGGGCTCAGGGCTGACAAAGCCCCCTCCCAACCTTTCTCAGGCTGGACACAAGGTCAACCATGAGAAAACAGTAAAACAAGGAGAAGATAGTCTGTAGAGACAAATTGGGAGGGTTCAGGAGGAGAATTTAGGATTTGCTTCTGCCCATGGGACACAGGCTGGGAATTAAAATGTTTTCCTGACTCTTCTCTGAAAGCCAGATAGACTCCACCTAAAACCCTATTGCCAATGATGCAGGATCCACTTACCAGAGACTTTGATTTTCTTGAATGTGGAAATTTCCCTGCCAGTGGCTGAGTTACGAGCAGAGCAACCATAGAGCCCGCTATGCTCTGTAGTAATTTGGAGGATAGAGAGCTTATGTCCTGATTGCTGAAGCTTCCCATCAATCGTCCAAGAATACTCTGCCGGTGGGTTAGAGTCCGCGAAGCAGTACAAGGTGAGGTTTTCTCCTGAATGGTAATAGGTGCACGAAGGGAAAATCCTGGGGACGTCTGGACCATCTGGAGTAAAGAGAATAAAGCCACTGGTGATGTCATCCGAGGGAAGGGGATGCTCCTGGTCTCTTAAAGGGATACAGTGTCCCTCTGAGCCAAGACACACCCTCAAGTCCCAGCCAAACCCCCTCTCTGTTCACTGAGATGAGGCCTAAGGTTCTCAGGCTTAGACCCATCACAGGCTGTAGACCCCAAGTCTCCCATGACAGGAGCATCCCCTCCCCTTATATTCTTGGTTAAGGCTATGCCTACCCAGGTTTTCCCAGGGCAGGGAGTCATGGCCAGCTCAGGTGTACAGAAATAAAAGTGTCTGTACTTGGACCTGAGAGAGACTGAGATGCCTGGCCTCTGGTTGTTTGTATTTAAGCTCGTGACCTGGCCACAGAGGAACCAAAGGTACTCACAGAGAACATCCAGGGTGACTGGGTCACTGAAGATGCTACCAAATCGGTCCCGTATTTCACATTCATAGGGTCCTGTGTCATTTCTTGTGACATTGGCTAGAATGAGGATCCTGTTTTCACCGGGTTGCTTTAGCCTGGAACTGACCGGGAGGCTCTGATCATTTACCCACCACACATAGGTATAGTTCTGAGTCTTAGGTTCACAGGTTAAGACTACAACATTCTTATTCTCCATGGGGTTGAAGTTGTTGCTGGTGATGTAGGGCTTGGGCAGCTCCGCTGTGTGGATAACAGAGAGAAGATTGTCCTGTGTGGCACCTTTGATTCCTCCACAGACATCCTTCAATCAGAGTTGGCATCTCCCACCTCTCAGCCCTCCTGAGTCCTTGAAAGTCAACAGCTGGCGCGTGTGTCACGAGACAGATGCATGATGACCTAAGGGCTCAAAGACTGTGAGGCCACCTGTTCTGTCTTAGGGAATCACAGACTTTCTCAAGTGTGAATTGAGCAGTAGTGTTGGGTCATGGACAGACACGTCAGTGGGAGTCACAGCCCCTGGTACCCCTCCCAGTCCCTCTCTAATCAACTGACTGGCTGGCTCACCTTGGGTTCCTTACCTGGAATGTGTAACTGCCGGATCTCTTCCAAATTCCATCCTACTTTGCCCCGCTAGATGTGATTTCTCTGCAGCTTCCATTTCCAAGGACATTCTAGAGATGAGTAATAATGGGACTTCCCATTGTCCTGAAACCCTGAAGATACTGAGTAGCCTGGCCTGGGACTGGATGTTTCAGCAGAAATAAGACAGGGGAGACCAGAGTCAACCCTGGAGGTCAGTTCAGTCATCAGGCAGTGGAGGCACAAGGTGGGGCCGTTTTCTACAGGTGTTTCATGATGACTTACTTGAGCCAGTGACCTCCAAAGATAGAGCAGAGTGCAAGGAATGATGTAGAAAGAGTGAAGGGGACAGGCAAGAGCTGGTGGCTTTGGAGCAGAACCATGTTCCCTGTTCTGGGTTCCTTAAGTTTCCCCTCCTTCTGCAGAGGACAGGTGAGGACTATGTGGATCTTTCCAGAAATACATGTGGATATTTGCAAATGCAGAACTGACTGGTGGAAAGGGTGGCAATGAATTGCTGGAAATCTGGTCCTCATGGACCCTGTGTGTTTGATGGATATGAGACAAATTTGGGGAGAAGTTTTGCAAATATTTTCTTCCATTGGACACTCTACTCTCTGATTCCATGAGTTTGACTACTCTAGGGACTTCATGGAAGTGGATTCCAGAGTGAATCTGAGAAGAGACTGCTGGTTTTCAGAAACTGGGAGTGGGGAGAATTAGAAGTTGTTCATGTGTATGCAGTTTCAGTTATGCAAGATGGGGAGGTTCTAGAGATCTGCTGTACAGTTTGATGCCTACAGTTCACACAGATTGAGTATTTCTTATGCATAAGACTTAGGACAAAAAGTGATTTTTTTGATTCTGAAATATTTGTCATATACTTACTAGTTGAGCATCCCAAATCTGAAAGATTCAAAATCTAAAATGTTCCAGTGAGCATTTCTTTTCAGCATCAGATTAGTACGCAAAAATGGGAGGTGATAAGCCAAATATATTCTTGCCCTTTTTTTTTTCACACCACATTTCTAGCTTGGTGATTAGTTTTTGGTCAATTCCATACTGGCCATGCTGCACTAGTATATTTTTGAAGGCTTTGGGATGTGAGAAAGGCTGATTGCTATTTTCTACGTCATCAAATCTTTCCACCTTTTCATGGTTGCATCTTTTTCTCAGTGTCTCTGTCATGGCAGTCATTAATAAGAGTCTGTCAGGTGAGATTTAGGACAGATTTTTGCAATTCTGCAAAAAATGTTACTGGGATTCTGGTAGGGGTTGCATTGAATGTGCAGATCACTTTGGGTAGTATTGTCTTCCTAACAGTATTGATTCTTCCAATCCATGAAAATGAAATGTATTTCTATATATTGATGTCATCTTTCTTTCAGTAATGTTTTGGAGTTTTCAGGGTATAACCCTTTGACTTTTGGGTTAAACTTATTCCAAAATATTTTATTCCTTTTGATGTTAACATAAATTGAAATTCTTTTCTTAATTTCCTTTCACATTGTTCATTGTTAGTATGTAGTCTAAAGAATGATCTAGAAAGAGCAAAGCAACAGGAAGAGCCGGTGGTTTTGGAGCAGAAACATATTCCCTGTCCTGGGTTTTTGATTTTCCCTCTCCCTTTGCAGAGGGAAGATGGCTCTTTTCTGACAGCCAGAATAGCCAGATAGACTTCACTGGAAAACATATTGCCAGTGCTCCAGGGATCCACTTACCAGGGACTATGATCCTCTTGATTATGAGATTTGTTCCACCAGTGACTGAGTTATGGATGAAACAGACATAGACCCCTGTATATGTTTTAGTGATTTGGGGGATAAAGAACACTTGTGCTGATTGCTGGAACTTCCCATCAATTAGCCAAGAATGCTCTGCCAGAGAGTCTGTGAAACAGGAGAGATTGGGGAGTTCCCCTGTATGGTAATAGGTGTATGAATAAGAAAAGGTGGGGGCATCCAGGCCATCTGGAGCAAAGAGAATAAAGGCACAGCTGATGTTGTCAGAGGGAAGGGTAAATCCTGGTCTATGGAAGGGCCACAGTGACCCTATGAGCTAAGTCACAACACTGAAGTCCCAGCCAAATCCCTGCTGTGTTCACTGATCTGGAGCCTGAGACATTCCCCTGTTTCTCCCATCATAAGCTGTGGACCCTGATTCTCCCATGACAGGAGCAGCCTCTTCTCTCCCATTGTTGATCAAGCCTAAGCCTACTCTTAGTAGTCATGGCCAGCTTTGATGTCCAGGGGTAAAGGTTTCTGTACTTGCACCTGAGAGGGACTGAGAGGCCTGGCCTCTGGCCATGTGTATTTGGGATGGCAGCCTGACACACAGAGGAACAGAAAATACTCACGGAGGAGATTCAGGGTGACTGGGTCACTGCGGCTGGAACTCACTGGGTTCTTCATTTCACATTCATAGGGTCCTGCAGTATCGTTTGTAACACCAAATATAATGAGGGTCCTGTTGTTTTTGGACAGCTGCAACTTGTGACTGATAGGGAGGCTCTGACCATTTATCCACCACAGGTAGCTTACGTCCCGAGTGTGAGGATCACAGGATAAGATGACAGTCTCCACGGCCTCCCTGGGGCTTAAGTTGCTGCTGGAGATGTAGGGCTTGGGAGTCTCCACTATGCAGATAACAGAGAGAAGATTGCCCTGTATGGCACCTTTGATTCCTCCAAAGACATTTTTAAATCGGAGATGGCATTTCCCACCTCTCAGCGCACCCCACTCCTTAAAAGCCCATGGCAGGTGTGTGTGTGTTACAAGACAGATGCATGGCAATCTGAGGGCTCAGAGATTGTGAGGCTACCTGCTTTATGTGTGAGAAGCGCAGACTTTCTCAAGTGTGTATTGAGCAGCAGCATTGGGTCATGGCAAGACACAGGACCAGCAGTCACAGCCCCTGGTGACTCTGAGTCCCTCCCTCTCCAACTGCCTGCCTGGCCACCCTGTGGTCCTCACCTGGAGCATGTGGTGCTGGAATCGTCTTAGTTTCAGTCTTACTTTGCCCCCCAAGGTATGTTTTCTCTGCAGCTTCCCTTTCCAAGGACATCCTAGATATAGATGATGGAACTTCCCATTGTCCTTAAGCCCTTTGAGTACTGTGAAGCCTGGCCTGGGACTGCGTACTTCAGTAGAAATAACACTGGGGAGACCAGAGTCAAGCTTGGAGGTCAGTTCAGTCATCAGGTAGTGGAGCCACAAGGTGGGGCAGTTTTCCCAGCTGTCTCATAGTGACTGACTTTAGCCAGTGACCTCTAAAGATAGAGCAGAGTCCAAGGAATGACCTACAAAGAGTGAAGGGGACAGGCAAGAGCTGATAACTTTGGACCAAGACCATGTTCCCTCTTCTGGGTCCATGATGTTCCTTTCCCCCTGTAGAGGGCAGGTGAGGACCATGTGGATCTTTCTAGAAATACATGTGGATGTTTGCAAATGCAGAACTGACTGATGGAGAGGGCGAACATGAACTGATGATGGAAGTCTGGCCCTCATGGACCATTTGTGTTTGGTGACTATTAGACCAATATTTGGGAAGAAGTCTTGCAGGTACTTTCTCTCATTAGACATTCTACTCTCTGATTATATGAGTTTGACTACTCTATGTACCAAATAGCAGTGGATTCCAGAGTGAGTAAGATAGTAGAATAGTAGTTTCCAGGAGCTGGGGTCGGGGGAATAGGGCATTGTTCTGTGGGTGTGCAGTTTCAGTTATGCAGGATGAGGAGGTTCTAGAGATCTCCTGTACAGCTTCATGCCTATAGTTCATGCAGATAAAGTGTTCCTTATGCAGAAAGCTTAAAACCAAGTGTTTTGGATTTCTAACTTTCTTTTTATTTTGGAATATTTGCAGTAGATGTAATGGTTTAGCATCCCAAATCTGAAAAATTTAAAATCCAAAATGCTCCAGTGAGCACTTCTTTTTCGCACCACATCAGTGGTCAGAAGTGTTGGATTTTGGAGCATTTCAGATTTTGGATTTCTGCATTTGGGATGCTCAATTTGTGATACTGTAATTTTCCCATAAAATGTCAGGAGTTTAGACCTCATGTTATGTTTTGACTCTAGTAACAAAACATTAAAAAGTTTGGAGGAAACATTAAAATGTTGTCATAAGTGGAAATTTTTACGGATGGTCCAAACATCTAAGATCAATTGCTGGTAGTAGTATTTCTCTTGATACCCAATTAAGGTTTAGGTGTGGGGTGAATTCCAGCAGGATCACATTATGCTCAAAAAAGATGCCAAAGGTGATTTGAAATTAGCAACTCCTTAAGTAGAGAGAGTCCCGTTAAAAGGACAGAACTGGCCAGTGTGTCAATTACATAAAGGGAGGAATGATGCCGAATTAAAAGAAGGGATGTGTGTTTTGTTAGTAAATATAAAAAGAGCTCCCTGTTTCTAATTTCTGTGCAGAGTTAGGAAAAATGGGGAGGAGCCCAAAACAGGTATGTGAAATGCTTTCTTCATTTTCTCTTAACTCAGGAAATACAACTGGAGGTTAAGTTTGTGTGAATTAGGAAGAGTCTAAGTGAGATGCCAACGGCTCATGTGTCGCCCACACGAAGAATCCTAACTTGTGAAAATGGCATCATCATGAGGAAACAATCGTATGTGGCACAGGCAGTAAAATCATCAGATAGCACACACCTGGCCAACTTCAACAGGTCCCCGAAACCACCAGTATTCCCATTATGTGTATGTTACAGCCTTGGTGGTTGTCCCGCAACTACAAAATTGAAAAATTGCTATTGTCAATAAAGAATGTTAAATATGAAGTTGAATTTGTTGTTCAACTTTTTTTCCCCACACTCTTTTTGAACTTTCCTGTTTCATTTTTGGAAGTTTCTATTGACACATCCTGAAGCTAAAAGATTTTTTCCTCAGCTGTGTGCAATCCACCAGTAATCATCTAAAGCATTCTACATTTCTCTAACAGCCCCTTTTTTTCTTTTTTTTTATCTGAGACGGAGTCTTGTTCTGTTGCCCAGGCTGGAGTGCAGTGGCACGATCGTGGCTCAAGCAAGCTCTGCCTCCTGGGTTCACGCCATTCTCCTTCCTCAGTCTCCTGAGTAGCTGGGACTACAGGTGCCCGTCACCACGCCTGGCTAATTTGTTTGTATTTTTAGTAGAGACGGGGTTTCACCATGTTAGCCAGGATGGTCTCAATCTCCTGACCTCGTGATCCCCCCACCTCAGCCTTCCAAAGTGCAGGGATTACAGGCGTGAGCCACTGTGACTGGCCATCTCTGAGGGATTTTAATGAGTTGTTGACTTTTGAGTTTGTTCAGCTTTTTACTTACTGTTAGAACCGAGTGACAAATTTCAAGTTTGTTATATGCCTGACAGGAAACCAGAAGTCTCTAGGAAGTGACTGGAGAATGTGAGCTCCACAGTAGGTTGAGGATGGAGTCGCGAGTGAAATGGGTGAAATCAGTCCATGGGCTTTGGAGACTGCAGACCTCTCCAGCCTCTGACACCCTGGTGAGTCAGTGCAAAGATTACAACAGTGATAGCAAACTAGCATGGCTGACTCCATCTGGCATCTAGTCTCAGGCTGGCTGTTCTCACTCATTCCTGGACATAGGCCAGGCTAATCATGGGTGGAATGTAGTTTATGGTTTAACTTTGAAGCAAGAATGATAATAGTTCCTCCATAACACTAACACCCTTCTTTTGCCCAGGGATTGCCTTTGTAAAACTGGTGAAAGACCATGAGAGTAAGATTACAGGAGGAAACTGAATTGTGCTAAAATGTAGGCACAGTTTCTATAATCCCTTACTTCTCAAATGTCATTTGGTCAGAGTTTACAAAACTTGTAACTAATTGCTCCTATAGATAACATCACTATTGTAGAACCTGAGATTGGTCTTTTGAGATTTTTCTCATTCTTTGCATTCTGGCAACAGGCTGACCTCATTCATACCCATGACTAATGGTTCAGCCAGTCCCGTGGTCCCCACCTAGAGGTGAATTCAAGCACAAACAGATCTTTTCCCTCCACCCCCATGATTCCATCCCCCAAACAATCAGCAGTACCCATTTTTTAGTCCTGTGCCCCTGAAACTATCCTTGAAAATCTCTAACCCCTGATCCACTAGGGAGGCTGATTTGAGTAATAATAGAACAGTCAGCCTAGTTAGAGGGAATGTTTGGGGAAGGCCTAGGAGTGGAGGAAGAAGGTGTGCAGGACAGGGCTTGCCAGTTAGAATGAAGTGGGAGGAAGATGAGGAACACAGAGAAGCAGAGAGAGGCAGAGACAGCCTGGCAGTGAACAATGGGGGCTACAGTGACTTCAGAGGCCCCAGGGACCAGGTGACCCCAGTTCCACAGTCCAGGACCAGGGAGCCCTGAAAACCCTCCCATGCCCAAAGAGCTTCAGAGTTACATGAGATGGGGTGTCTTTAGGGGCAAGAGGTAGTGGGGGGATGAAACATGAGTGTCAGCCTCTGAAGGACAAGAAACAGGTGTGACTAGACCTCCTAGGATGCTGCATCTGAGGTCCACTCTGTAAAGCAGCTATGGACCATTCATTTCTTCATTCAATTCCTTCATTTGTTATGCGAGAGCTCCTGAGGGTGTGTCTCTCACTGGGCCTGTGCTGGTGCGGGGTGTGAGTGGGGAAAGAAAAAAAGATTCTCTCCTTTATCCTGTCATGCCAGTGACATGGACACTTTGTGAAACAGGATTTCAGGTTCAGTGATAGGGGTTAAGATCTGAGGGGGAGGCCTGGACATTTTTTGCACTGACTCTGACAGTTGAGGCAGGCGATTTAATTCTGGAGTACAGACTAATCAGCTGACCATTTGCTCTCACTCCTCTGAGGTTTGGATGCCTAAGAAGAGACGATTTGAAACAATAATTGACTATGGGGTCCTTGGAACCCAATAAGCCCTCACTTCTGGTGGAGGAGAGGATGGGCCTGTGGCTGCAGACAGACCTCATGTGACCCTGATCTGCCTTTTGTGTTTGTGTGACTCTGGTTCAGTGACTGTGCCTTCCTGTGCCTCAGTTTTCTCTCAGTCAAATAAGCTAAATGGCAAATGGACTGTGGCTTTTCATGCTATCTGTGAATAAATTGTGAATTATTCAGTCACATGACCTAATGCTTGGCACAGTGGAGGTGTTCACACAAACAGCATTTATTATTATTCACTTCCATGAGAGAGCACCTTTAGGTCAGATTCCTGTGGACAAGCTGCTGCCAGGTACATTTTCTCTCTTCTGTTTCTGCTTCTGGGGACATTAGAGTTTCTGTGGAGTGTCCTAAGCCTTACAAGGCAGTTGGCTGATGGCCTAGAAAGCTTGTCTTTCTGTCCCCTTCACTCTGAGTCTCAGGTGAAGAAAGCTCTGTCCTTGCCTAGATGAGCCTCTGAGAGCTGAGCCCTGGCTGGTGAGCAGCTCCAGGAGACACAGTCCTCAGACAGCTGGTAAATCCTTGGTCCCAGTAAGCCCTGCCACAACTGAGCCCTGGCACAGGCTCCTCAGCTTTTTCTGGAGTAAGGATTAAGGGACAGGGGTCTGGGGTTGAAGCTTCTAGAGCTGAGCTTCTTTGAGGGTATCTTTGCCCCTTAGGCAAAGCCCTGCTCAGTTCTCCAGGGTGTTTCTCAGGGTAAGGTTTAT